AAACTGAAAAAGAAATGTGAGTTGGATAGTCTCTACTGTTCTAATTTTTCATAGTTGGCAATGAGGCTTTGTGTCCCTCTTCCTGTTACCAGGTAAACCTAAATCTAGGTCTTCTCTCCCTAAATAAAACATTATTATCTTATCTTCAGAGCCAAATATTGACGGCTCACTCAATAACACCAAATATTTAGCCTGCTGTTTTGGGGAATGACGAGGGGAAGTGGGTGGAGTGAGTAGCAGAATGGATCTTACAAAGTTCACATGGTCTAGTTGTGGCTAGAAGTTCAAGAGATATTACTTGGAAATAAACTGACCTTGACACAACACCACGCATTTTAAAAGTTCATCGAGAAAGATTTCATTCTGTTGTCTTTTGAGATTGTGGTCTCACTAGGTTGCCCACATTGATCTTAAACTTCTGGGTCCAAATGATTCTCCTATCTCAGCCTCCTGAGGAGTTGAGGCTATAGGTACATGCCACTGCATCTGGCTTCATAAAAGATTTTAAGTTGTGCACCTGGTGGTGGCTCACACCTGTAATCCTAGCTACTTCAGAAATTGAGATTGGGAGAATAGTAGTTTGAGGCCAGCCTGGGCAAAAAGTTTGAGACCCCCACTTCAGCCAATAGCTGGGCTCAGTTGCATCCACCTGTCATCCCAGCTATGCAGGAGGCTGGGCTCAGGAGGATCATGGTTCCAGGCCAGCCCTGGGCAAAAAAAGTTCACAAGACTCCATCTAAACAGGAAAAAAAAGCTAGGTATGGTGGCACATGCCTGTCATCCCACTGATCATGGGCAGTTTAAAATAGGATTATGGTCGAGACCCACCAGGGCAAAAAGTGAGACCTTATCTCCAAAATAACCAGAGCAAAAAGTGATAGAACTATGGCTCAAGTGGCAGAGTGCTTACCTAGCAAGCACAAAGCCCTGGGTTCAAACTCCAGTACCACACACCCAAAAGAATATTCTAAATGTTCCTGTAAGAAACTCACATAGAATTAATGCCTTCGTAAGATTTGTTTCAAACACTTGTAAAACCACCAAGTGTCCCAAAGTGCTAACAACTTTGAACTGTGAGGCTGAACTATGTTCAGATGAGTGTTTTTGAGAGGTGGGATTTTTCCCAAATTGATGGAAAGCTCTGGTATATTTGAATATTCAGTCACAAACCTTGCATCAGTACAATTTTATCCACTACTGATAAAATACCCCGACAATCATCATTCTCAAAAACATAAGGAGTGAAAAAGATGGCTTCCTTGTGGCTCAACTAGAATTCTGTTACATGTGAGTTACTCAATAGTTCGGGTACCAGCCAGGACAGACCTGCCACTAGTGACATTTACCTCAATCATGCTACTTAGTTCTACTATCACTACTTCTGAACATACCAGCTAAGCCACTGCTGTTCAACTACAGGAACTTTAAATGCTCAAGTCTTTCTCAAGATATACCACAATTTTACAATTAGAATGAGAGGTAACAAACAAGGATGTCACATTTAACCCCTCAAAATACACCCCCCTCCCCACAATCTCCCACTATGCCTAAAAGCAAAAAACTCTTCACATTTTTCTGCAGAATTTCTGCTGCAGTAGCTTTGTGGTACTGTTAGCTGCCTGGAGCACCTCATTAATATCTCGGGGACTGAGCCATGGTCAATTGAAGTGGTGAAGAGTCGCTCCCCAGCCTGCTGGCCGAGAAATGGCCAAAGGGCTATTTCCCATTTTTCATTCTCAGGTCTCCACAGAACAGTTAAAACACCAGGTATACGAAGTCAGAGAAAAGATCAAGCTCCTCTTTCAGATCAGTGGAAATGAGAAGTCACTCCAGTGAATCCTTAGTTCCTTCAATATGCATTTGAGACCACACTAGCTGAGAGGGTCACCTAGGGGGCCTTTCACCCAGTCACATTACTTCCTTGCTGTCCATCCTGACCTCAGGATGGACATGAAATCGCAGTGTATCTACTTGGCCATGGGTGAATCTGTCCGTGAGCAGGTTTATGCAGGGCTGGTGGAGCCAGAGGAGAACAGGGCTGGGTTTGAGGCAGGACATGCTACTCCCAACATGGTGCCTTGGAGTTTGAGGGAATGGCAGAAGTGGGAAGGCTTCACCAAGATCTTCCCACCAGTCTCCTCTGAAGCAGGCCATAAGGGAATCATCTGGCTTTCCTCTGAAGCATGACATAAAACACTCATTGCAGAGGCACTCTCCCTATTATCTGGACAAAGAGAACATCCTTGTCTCTGGAGACACAGAGAATCTGAACCAACAGGACTTGCTAAGCCCCCATTCATCACCATTAGGTCAAACTCTCCTTGTCCAATCGTGCCTCTGCATACCTGTCCACTCTATACCCAACCTAGTGTAAAAACAGCTTTCCCTGCTTTTTGGGGTCTTTTTGTTTGTTTGTTTTTGAAGCATGGTCTCACTCTATAGTCCAGGCTGATCTCAAACTCACGAGCCCCCTAACTGGCTTCCCAAGTGCTGGGACTGCAGGCACACACCACACACCCAGCTGAGGTCTTCATCTCTGAAGCTCCTGTATCACATAAAACTTGTATCAGTTTTGGCAGCTACTTTTGCTCACCTGGCTTGTTATGGGGTCCTCAGCCATGAGCCTTGCACTGCGTGACTAGACCAGAGATACCTTAAGTTTAGGTATCTAAAATAATATCCAACACAAGGTGCTGGATCCAGTCAGTTCCATGACCTAGCATGAGGGATCTCCCCAAGGGAAGGGGGATATGCTGTTAAAAGTGGGTTTCTGCCTAAGTGAATTCTTTCCCCAGAACTGGTTAAACAATCCAATCCCTGAGGCTCCACAAGCTTCACCACAATGCAAACAGTCCATTCAAAATCCAGCTTGAATTTATGTACTGAAGAACTGGGGTAGAATTCATCATCCGGGATGGCCCCTGTCCTCGGTGGATGGATTCTCTGCCTCGACGGCAGGTCTCAGTGTAATCACTTGACTGGCCTAAGCAGCATCCTCAGGTCTTCATTAGAAATGCACTCTGGGACCACCTAGCCCTTCTGCTCAGACCGAGAGTGGGCAGGCCGGTTCCGGCTCTGCTGCAAGCTCAGCAAGGGGTCAGCTGTGGAGTAGGGGATGGCTATTCTCCCAGTTCAGCTTCGCTGGAGCCACTCCTATCAACAGGGGCACCTCCATCCCTGTTAGGGCAGAGGGCCAGTCCCAGAGGCAGCAAGCTGTTTCCCTGGCTGCAAGGCCTCAACCCAGGCTGCAGTCACAGTTCCGTGGTCCTGTCTACTGGAATTCCCGGTGCCACTGACCCCCTGGTGTACTGTGACCTCGGCCCAGTTCATCATACTGCAGATGGAGCAGGGGTACAGGTAGCCCTAGGCAGGTGGCAAAGGAGGCTCATTTTCCCTCACCCCTTCCCTTGCCCCAGCTCTGCTCCAGAGCCCTGGGAGGTGACAGGCTCCAGGTCTAAAAAGATCAGGGGCTCTGGGACCTCTGGAGGGGCAGGTTGAAACTCAAAGACCATCCTCACATCCTCTGCAATTGATTCACACGTGAGGCCTTAACAGAAAAGCAATGGAAAAAGAGTCAACCTGAGTGTAGAATAGGGATTAGTAGAATTGGGAAAGGGAGGGGGTAGACAAAAGGAGGCTGGATTTGAACAGTACACACCATATACATGTGTGCAAATGCCACAGAGCCCCATTAATATGCACAACTAATTCATATTGTAAGTCAAAAGAAGAAGCGGAACTAATTTGCATCATTTCTCTACACTATTGCTATATGCACATTAACATGGAGCACTGGTCCTGGTGAATCTACCAAGCCCACCGAAAGGGCTTGGCTCCAAGTAAGCACCAGTGAGCCTCTCCTTCACCCAGCACTGCCTGCCACAGACCACCATCCTCCCAACCTGCAGGAAGCCAACCACACGTTCTCTTTCACTTTATTGGATACACCAGGTGTGGGATTTACAAACAGAACTAACAAGGTATGCAGGATACAGACAGCACGCCTTTGTGTGATGGGGGCTCTGAAATGAACGGACCTTGCTTACATGTAGTACAAAAATCAAGCAAATCAAAACCACAACTCAATGACATCCCAAAGTAGACAATGTAAACAGTTAAATTACTAAGTCATTACTTAAGATCAAACACTTCCATGAAAATGACATACAAAAAAAACCCTTATAAATTACATTTAAGGTCTGTACATGATTCTTAAAAAAAATAACAATACTGTTTTCTGTACAATATTGCTTCCTTTTGAACATTTGAAACCCAAGACACACTTTCCCTTGAATTCCAGAAGAGTGGGCAAAAAGCACATGCAGTCTAATTAAAACCATTTCACAAAAATACAAAATTGTGTCGGTTTCTGTACAGGCACATTTTGTTTTTATATAAGAAGCTCCCACTTCAGAAGCCCACTTCTCCTTAGACCCTGGCTGGTGACAGTGTCCTGTTCTCACTAATCTTTGGCTACTAATGGGAGGATACAACCAGCAAACGGCAGCGGAGAGCAAAGGCGCTCCCTCCATTCTTAAGCCTAAGGCTGGTTGCTAAGAACCTTAAACCCCAGGTGCCTCCTTTGCTACCTTTTGAAGTCCTGTTTTCCCCAAGTTCCTAAATACTTGACCCATATACAATATGGAGCAAAGAAGCTGCCATTTTTTTTTTTTTTTTTTGCAAAGCATACATAGGTCACTTTGGATCTACCACCGGGATAAATGCAGGCAGCACAGGGAATACTGTGTCCTGCTTCTGAGGAGGTCATGCTGTTGGGCCCTTTTGCCAAACTGGGGACCACAGCAGCAGCTCTGAGTACAGAGAGCAGACAGGACAGGTGCAGGATGTCACCAGGTCTCAGGTGGCAAAGTCTGCAAACTAGCCCAACAGTCCCTAGGCTCCTGTGACTGCTGCAGTCTGTGACTTGTCAAAGGCTGGTGAAGTCCCCGTTGGGTTGCAGTGGGGACTGCTCTCCTGGTGCACTGGGTCCTGTGTGCCCCTCACGCTTCCACCTGGACCTGGGCCTCATCCATCTGCAGAGGATCATTGTCTCCCAAGAGCTCAGTCTCTGGGACACAGCCTTCTTCTTCTTCCTCCGCTTCCTGCACGGGGCTCTGGGCCACGTCCTCTGGGATGTTCTGTGCATCCTCTGTGCCCTCTGAAAGCAGGGCTGCCCTGTCTGCCACGGACGTGTTAGAAGGTGCTGTGGTGACGTAGCCTGTGCTCGTGGAGCCACTGCCACTGTGGTGCGAGCTGGGCTTGGGGACCATCTGAGGGGGCACTTGCTGGGGGGCCATTTGCATCGGGATCTGGACAGGGTAGAAGTTGGGCAGGTAGGCCCCATATGCCGGCACTGGCTGGTAGCCATTGACCGGGATGTAGAGCTGGGTGGGGCACAATGGGTCTTATCTGACCCTTCATGGGGATGAACTGAGGCTGTGGGAAGGGCTGGGCCTTCTGCTTGGGCCCTACGTAGCGGGTGTTGCTCACGTTGCTCACGGGGCTGGTGCTCAGGGAGCTGGTCTGCGTCGTGTTGCTGGCTCCTGAGGTCTGTGCTGAGCTGTTGTAGTTGGACAGGTTGCCCCAGGCCCGGAGGCGGCTGTGGATGTCCTTGAAGCGGGGCCGCCGGCTAGGAAACTCATTCCAGCACTCGATCATGAGGGCATAGACCCAGGCTGGGCAGTCGTCGGGGCAGGGCAGCACCTGCCGGTTTCGGATCATCTCCACCACGTCCTGGTTGGAGTACCCGCAGTAGGGCTGCAGGCCATAGCTGAAGACCTCCCACAGGACCACGCCATAGGACCAGATGTCCGAGTCAATAGAAAACTTGCCGTACATGATTGCCTCGGGGGACATCCAACGGATGGGCAGCAGTGAGTTCCCCATTAGCTTATAGTAATCAGCAGAATAGACCTCGCGGAAGAGGCCCAAGTCTGAGATCTTCACGTTCAGCTTGTCAAATACCAGCACGTTGCGGGTGGCCAGGTCCTTGTGGACCACATGGTGGCTGGACAGATATTCCATGCCAGCAGCAATCTGAACCACGACATGCACAAAGTCGGGGGGCTCCAGGGCAGACTTCACGGTGCGGTCATCATCGGTGCTGCCCACGTCAGAGTGGGGCGAGCGCATGACCAGGAACTCATGGAGGTCGCCATGCGGGCAGTAGCTAAAGATCATGCTGAGGGGTTGGTCCTTGGTCACCACACCCAGTAGGCAGACGATGTTGGGATGCTGCAGCCGCGCCCGCAGCATGGCCTCATGCCGGAACTCCTCCCGGAGGGGGCCCTCTGCCTTGTCCTTCAGCGTCTTGACGGCCACCGCTTGCGTCTGCTCCCCGGGGGTGGGCCCGAACAGGTGGCCTCTGTAGACTTTCCCAAACCGGTCTTCCCCCAGTTCTTCTGTGAACCTCACCGTGGACAGGCTGATCTCTTTGAGTTTGGCCTGCCAAGAAGAAAAACCCCAAATGAAACCTGTCATGGCAACACAAGAAGAAAAAGCACAGCATCCTGGGAGGGGAACAGTCATTGTGACACCATTGCTGGCATGGCCTTGCCAGTCCTGTCCGTCCCAGGTCCCTGATTAACCTTAAATATGGCCCTAATGCTATGCTGTGAGACTGCCTCCATCTGAAACCTTCCGTGTTCTCAACCTAGCTATGTGCCAAGGTCCCTCTGAAATGCGGGTGAGGTGTCACTGCAGACTCCCCTTATCCTGTGTGCACACACGAGCATATGTGCATCTTTGCACTTGCAGACATACCCTACAGCCAAGTCCCAGCCCAGCTTTCCTACAATCACCCCTTATACTCTCCAGCAACCCCCAACCTCTCCCTCACGCCCTGCACACCATGGCTATATGCTGTCTTTTTCTTATGGACCCCAGGTTGTCCTTCCTAGGACATTTTTTGCCTGTCACATGGCCATTTTTGCAGTCCAGCCCAACTGTTCTTCAGAGCCTCCCTCAATCGGCCTACCATGTGGTTCCCTCTGGAGTAGATTTGCAGTTCGATGCACTTTGGGCAGAAGTACCACCCAGGTGATATGAACCCTCAGGACCCTGTCTCTCTTTCAGCCTCCACAATGCACGCTCCTGCTGGGTGGCTGGCCCTCATTCTTCCCAGAGGATAGAGGACCAGCAAGATAGGCCTGGGGGCCTTGTGTTCTCAAAAGCATACCCTCACCCATGGCAAACACTCACTACTCCGTGGCTGATAGGCAGAGTGATCCACTTTTGAGAGTCCCTTCAAAGTCATGAGAATGGCAGGGCTTCCCCAAAGCCCTTTCACAAAGGCTGGCAAGACTGCCACGAATTTTCTCATCTGTCCCACTCACTTCCCTGCCATCTATGAACACTCAGAGTGGGGACAGGCTTTTAGAGAAAGCCTGACTCGCCTACTTCTATTAAAGACTGATACTGTGTTCTTCCTTGAAAAACAAAAAAGGGCAATGTCAACCTAACTGAACACTGACCACAAAACAGGTCCCATTCCCTCAAAACATGCCATGTTAAGTCTCAAATTACAAGGGCAGTTGGAGTTTTTTTGTGTATGCCATTGTGTGGGCAGAGCCAAGGCACCTGAGCAGTGAGGACAGCTCGCTGGAGCCACACAAGTAGCCCTGGGCACTTGGAGGGAGAAGACCACTGACTGGGGGTGGTAAGTTCCAAATATGCCCACCATGTATTTTTAAGGGCACACATGTCCTCATGTATTTTAGAGAATCAACAGCAAAATGAAGGATAACTTAAAAGAATCGTGCTATGAATTGAGATAGGTCATAAGTAATGGATCCCCTGAGATTAACCCTGGAAGAGCCGCCTGGTTGGAACAGCGAGCAGGAGGACCTGTTTGTGCTGGCTGATGAGAGGCATTTCCATGTCCTGGCTGGGTGAGACCATCAGTTGGCGCCGCTGTGGTGTGGACGCAGATGCTTTCTGCTTGTTCCGGCACATGCAGACCAAGAAGAAAAGGCAAGCGATGACCAGGGGAATCGCAATGCTTGGAACCAAGATGTACAGAATTCCCATTTTGCTGCTGTCTCGGGGACCTATGAGCGATAATGAGGCTTTCGTGATTTTCAGAAAATATCCTCTTTTCAATTCTGAGCTCTCCACCCGAGGCCCACTTCCCATCTCCAGCCAAAATACTAAAGTTCAAATGGAGAGTCAGATAAATCACACAAAGGAGCAAAACTGCATACCAAACCTAAAAACAAAAACAAAACCCAGGAATGCACCAAACAATGCACATTCTGCTGTAGGCTGGGGACACACAACCCAAACTCTGGAACAAAGAAACACACTGGAACGTGCAGCCCCAAACACAAACGAGGTCTTAAAGCCAGTAGTGCCCACACCCGTGTTTTTTCTCAAGGTGCGGGTACCATTTTTACCAAGGTCTCCTCAGCTGCTGACCAACTGATGAAATACAAAACAGGTCGGATTGCCCTGTCCTGGTGAGCAAAACCTGGGACTGGGATTAGAGATGATCTCTCTGTCATCCAACATTTTAATGCTTTGGGTATTTTGGTTTATTTATCTATTTATTTATTTTTACATTTTGTACAATGATAACATCTTCTCTTAGGGTAATAATTAAGAATGAATTTGACTTAAAAGCACACAAGTAATCCATGAGTTTGTCCCACACAGTATACAACGAGGGTAAAGAATTCTTGAAAAACAAGATGGATAAAATGTTCAAGGCTGCCATTTTTTTTTTTTCAATGAAAAGCATGTTGTGTTGCCCTCTACAGAACTTAGGAGAAGTTGCAGAGGGGCACTTTGGGGCCAGGTTGAGAGGGGAGCAGGCAAGGGTTGGCCATCCAGGCTATGCTGGACACTCCGGAGCACTTCCCCAGGCCCTTCAAGGTCATTTTACGTTAAGAGCAAGTGGCATGATTTCTGAGGCTGACTCTCCCTATAAAGGTGAAAGGCAGGCTCACTAGAGGGTCACTGTTCCACATCCCTAGGGAACCACAGGGTATTTTTATTCCCCTTGATTCTGGCAAATAATTAGGGCACACCCAGATGCTCTGTGATGGTGGGGAGAGGGAATGAGTAAACAAATCACTCTGGTCAATGTGGTGTCTGAAAGAGCTTATTCAGTCTAAATGTGCAACCTCAGGAAAAAAAAAAAAAAACAATCACAAAATCCTAAACCCAGTCTTGCCCTATCCCAGTCCCCCAAAATAAGATAAAGTCAAATAAAACCACAGACAAAACTCTTCTGCCTCCATGCAGCAGTTTATCCCAGAAAGGGTGCAAGAGCAGATGTTCCAGAAGCCTGGAGACAGTTGGGAGACTAGACCCTGGTTCATGGGTCATTACTGGGGTCGGGGGAGCTTTTGCCAGGACTGGAGATGTGAACTTTGTCTACACAATTACAGCACTGTTTTATTGCTGTCCTTTAAAAATTGCCAACAAAATGCACATATATTGGGGAAAAATTATAGTATTACAGTATTCCTATGACTCTTTACACCAAATGTTATCACACCAGTAATAGGTTGGTACTCCTTTTTTTAAAATTTTATTTTAGGTGTAATGATATGAAATAACTGATATATAACTATTTTGACATACAGAAACAGCAACTTCATGTGGTGTTTTGCAATACAATTTTTTTTTGGGGGGAGGTCTTATTATGGTAGTTCACACTGGCCAGGAACTCATGATTCTCCTGCCTCAGACTCCTGAGTGTTGCGATCACAGGCATGCACCACCACGTCCAACTATGCAATGTGATTTTAAATTGTCATCTGTATTTTCCTGTTCCTGGTTTTGGAGCAGAATGAGATATTTTGGATCTTTCAAGTCAGAACAGACAAATCTGTGGGTCCTTCACAGCTGCACTCTGAATCTGGATGGATGTACTTCCACTCTCCTGCCCAGCCTCCACTTGGGCACACAATAAGTCCATTTGGTATTTAGCTCTCACAGTAATTCCGTAAGAAGTCTCCTTACACTTCTGCCTTGTAAGTGCAAATATTTCTGCAACACAAGGTTCCAGGAGTTGCCAGGTCAAAAATCCTACGTATTTTTCCTTGTTTTTAATTATAACAATAATAGATGCTCACTAAAATGCCTTCTAGTTTAACACTCCTGTAGATCTGAGAAAATCATGGTCACATGTTGGGTATATGTCTTTCCAAAACTCCATCCATAGACAACAGATGGCTTTGTGCACTCTCACACACATACTTCCATTCATTCTGTTTCTTTACCAAAAACTGACAGCCGTAAAGCTCTGTCTGATTGTGAACATCCTTCTTTGAAGGAAGTGGCTTTAAAGAGCTGTAGTGCTCCAGGGTAGCGAGACTTCAATTTAACTCCTAATGCTTTCATTCTTACTGCTTATTCTTGGCAATGTGCACGGATTCTTGAAGATCCATGTGTGTGCTGCTCAGCAAAGATGAGGTCAAACTCTGAACTGCCAAATCACAACTCCAGAAGGTGAAGCGTTGATGTCCACGGGTTTGCTCTGCAGTGAATGGGGCACTGGGTCCCATCCCATCAGGAGGAGCGTTCCAGAAGACTGATTTGCTCCTTGGACCTCTCTCTCCTCATCCTTGGTCTCACATGCATCCACCAAGCCACTGCCTCCAGGTCCCAGCTGAGCCTTGTTATTCTCCAGCTGGAGCCAGTGAAATGGACATGACTGTACATCAGAGGTAATACCTACTGACATTTTCAACCATCAACTACACACTCCTTTCCCATTCATAACAGAACAAAGACACTTGTGGGGAATGTGAAGAGACCTGAATTCTGTTTTCTCCTTTACCAAATCTATGCTTGAAAGATGAGAAGCAGTGAAAAGCTAAAAAAGAACCGGGGGCAGGGAAGGAAGCATTTTTACTAAGATTGGAAATACTGTGCAGGAAATGTGATGCCAAATTGAACATCCCAAGCCCACATACAGGAAAAGGGTTGAGAGAAGGCCCTCCTTTTTCTGTATTTTCAGACATCCTATTATGATCTGTTGGTTACTTTCATAACCAACAACTTTTACATAAAACAAATGATCACGAAGGTAAGATGGGACACCTAGGTCCCTTGTGATCCATGGCAAGGCGTAACACTCTCATCACATGCAAACTCAACAGTCAACATTTTAAAAAAAGAGAGAATACATACTACACGAGGGTATGTCACACAGTTCCATGCGTACGTTTTCATTCTGCGTAAAGCACCAGGGACCTTCCATCTGGCCTCCAGGGTTCCGGCAGTAGGCATGTCCCCCTCCGAGCTCGGGGAAGTCTGTGCTGGACAAGTGGTGGCTGTGGGGGTGCTGCAGAGCCCACGGCTGGCACTGGTGCCCCGACCTGGTAGTGCTGGCCATCCCTCTGTAATCCGAGCCTGAGCCATTGTAGCACTGGTGATCTGAGAGAAGCAGAGTGTTAGCAACCTGACATCCAGGGAAATGGCCCACCTGGGACAGAGTTCATCACCCTTCCAAGACAGCAGAAAAGAGCAAAACTACCTTGCATACCTGTACTCAAACTTTGCCTACAAGACCCTTTGGTTTTCCAAAAGACCAAAGAATTTTACATCATGTCCAAGAAAGGCAACACCAGAGGAATGACTTAAGTTCCAAGCCCACAAATGCATTTACAGGAAAGGAAATACATATACAGGAAAGGAAACCTGTCACCAGTTATTCTAAGGTCTTGAAACCACCTCCAAAAGTTGCCAGACATCCACACTCCACCACCTAGGCCAGAATGTGAATGCCAACGGCCACCTCATGCTCATTTCTGTTAGAAACAAAATTGAAGTGCACAAGCAGGAAGGCAGATCATAGGCCCGGCCCTGCAATCTGGGAGGCCACTGCTCAGTGGGAGCCAAGCTTAGCCACGTGCGAGAACCACACACATCATTCCTCCTCCATGGAGGAGTCCAGAGCTGAGGATGTGTGTCTTGTTCAATGTGCACATGCTAATTGCCTTCTGCACCATTTGAAGACATGCCTAATTATTAACTCAACCTTCATTCCAACCCCAGGAGGTAGGGGGCTTTATCAATCATCTTCCAGGATTAGAAGCAGGATTTTCAGCCACTCGCTCAGGGTCAGTGTAACCCCTGTAGTCAGGGTCTGGATATACATACTGAACTCCAAGACCAGGTCCTGATGCCCTGGTAAGGAGACTTCCCACTCCTGGAAGCCCCAGACTGGCCACAGAAGCTAAATACAGCCCTGAAGCATGAAGGAAACTCACCTCCTGCCCATCTCTTAAAGTATTCAATGATTGCAGCAAAAAGTTTTCCTCATAGACATTGGCAGGACTGTCCCGGGCAGGGCTGTCTACTCTGACTGGCCTTCCTCTATGCTGTGGGGTTTCCTAAGAATATTCACAGCACCCAGAGGTGCTGCTGCAAGGGAGGAAGATGTGGTGCACACCTACTGTTCTCTGCAGATCCCAAGCAGGCTGCACCCATGATCAGGCTCAGAAGAATTAAGTACCTATCTCAAGGTTCTTGGGGGCCATCAGGTAAGCTCGGACACTGGCTCTGTCTCAATGTTCCCAACAGGGGCCAAGATAACTCCCATTTTTGAGAGACATGGAGCCACTCAAAGAGGGAATGTGAGCCTGAGGCCAAATGACTCCAAATACTATTCTTAACCCTCAGCAACTGCCCATGGACTGTCCTGGGCCACCGGGCTTTGGAGGCTAGCTGCGTCCTGCTCCCCCGGTCACTCACAGCGGCCCAGCCTCTCAGCCGGGATGCCGATGCGCATGCAGTTGGCGGCGTCGGGGCTCTCCGGCATCGGCAGTGCCTCGCACTTGGGCAGCTGCAGGCGCATAAGGATGAGCGGGTTGGAGCGCGCGATGGTGTACTCCTGACGGCACAGCTCGCTCTCCAGCACCTCGCACTCGTCGCGGCACAGCTCACGTGGCTTGGGCGCCCGGGAGCGCGCATCGCACAATGGGAACACAAAGTGGCAGAAGGATGGAATGGCGAACTGTGAGCACTGGTCCGAAAGGTGTGTGGAGGTGCCGATCATGGTGAAGGCCGCTGCAGAGGAGAGACTCCTGTGAGAGGTGGGACTGCCCTGTACCCTCTACCCCCATTCTAGACAAGTGGCACCCCTGACATTCCATTCCCAAACCCTTGCCCTGCATCCTGCTCCCCTCCTTTCCGGCCTGTGCCTCCAACCACTGACAACTGGACATCTGGCTCCCAGGGCCCACCTTAGATACCCTGTCTTATGTCCAAAATATCCTACTCCAGATCCATCCTGACTCAGAGCCCTTGCCCTCCCCAGGGCCCCACTTTGAACACCCTGCCCAATAACTGGACTTCCTCACTCTGAGCTTCTCAATCCTGATGTCCCCACCCATGCCCCACCGCAGGACTCACATAGTTCTACCCTGAGCGCTGGACACCCTGTTTCATCCAACCAACCACCCCTCCTAACTCTGAGCCCTGTATACCCTGCTTTACCCAACCAGCCTCCTTGCCACTCTCTGAGCCCTAGACATCCTGTCCCCCTTTCCATTCCTTCCACTGAGCCCGAGACATCATACCCCACCCCCAACCCCCCACTCAGCCCTAGACATCCTACCCTACACTCCTCCAACATCCCCACTCAGAGCCTTGGATTCTGCCTGGTGCCACCTCCCCACAGTGACAGCCCTAGAGAGGCTCCCAGGGGCAGGCCTAGGGCACCCATCATAGCAGGAGATACAGAAGTCCCTGTTCTTAGGAGTTCCCTTATAAACTCCAGAAGTAGAACAAGAAAGAAGGAAAGCCAGGCCCAAGAGCTCTTCAGCTAGATGCCTCTTCTACGACAGGAAGATCAGACCTTGGATGCAGAAGCTGTCTCCTCAGATCTACTGAGTGAGGGTCCTGCAAGCACATGTGTCCAGAAGACAGCATAGGAAAAGAGGTAGGGCCGCAAGCCCTGTCCTCCCAGTACTCCTGGCCTGCCCACGGAGGCCCAGGCAGGGAAACTCCACAAGGCAGAAAGCTAAGGGGAAATCTCAGCTTTCTGCAATGCCGCTGGAGGGGAGTGAAGTGACAAGAGAAGGGGCACCTGGTAAAATGGATGCACATGGTTGGGAGGGGCTCATAGCCACTGGGCAGTGGGGAAGCAGGGTTGTAAATCTGGAAGAGATCTGAGACATGGCGGGGGTCAAGAAACAAACAGTGGCAGGAGGAGCTTGAGCTCCAGATGTTAGAGACTGGAATGTCCTGGAGACAGCCAGGTGAGAGGAAGGAGTGGAGGGAGACAGGGAACCACCCACTTTTACTTGTGAAAGACCTGCTTGTACTATTGACCTGGGTTAAAGAAGTACACACACTGCAGAGACTATAACCTCCAACAAAGGGAGAAAACCAGGAATCTGGAATTTAATTCCTGGGGTCTCTAGCTCCACCCAGGAGTACCAACCGCAGCCAGTAGATGGCGCTGCTGCCACCTAGTTTTCCCAGGAGCTCATGGAGGTATGAGCAGGAGCAGCTAGCTAGGGATACCTGTTTACGCCTGGTCTCACCATTCACCACGTGACGGTGATAGTCACTCGGTCATTCCTGGGCCCATTTATCAGTAAAGGGATTTGTTGAACCTGCACATGTGGAAATGAAAATCCACATGGAGCCTATAAAATGGGCAGGGAGCTGAATGCATCCAGGAGCTGGCTGGCAGGGTCTGGTTACAACCCTGGGAGTGGATGGCCCGGCTCTGCCCATATGTTGGCACCACACAAGCCAGACATTCCTTCTGGCTGGTATTGAAATTGAAGAAACAGGGAGGGCAAGAGGTTAAGGCACCGGATGGCCTGGATTTGGTTGGTAGAAGAACTGAGGTTTGAACCCCTTGTTACTCAACTGGCAATTAACAGGATAGCAGTCAATCAAAAATTGTTGGTCTTGACTCCAGGCAGAGAAAGGCTGTCTAGCCTGGCATTTCTCACTGGACAATCAACTTACACGATGTCACCACTGGTATTTATAGGATTCCTCCTGGAAATATATCATTTTAGGGATTATTTCTGAAAATATGGCTGTAGGCACCAAGGATATCAAACAACCCATGTCCTCATCTTTGTCCATACCCCGAATTCCATGCAATGCCCTAACCTCCAAATTAGGTCATCACACCGATGAAGTCTCTAGTCTTATTTCCAAACCACAAGCCAGTTAGACCAGAGCAAATTCAAATTTTCTCTTTTCAGCCTGGGGGTATAGCTCAATGGAGATGTCCCAGGCTCTGGGTTCAATTCCCAGCATTGCAAAAAGAGAAAAAAAAATTATTTTTAAAGGTACAAATCTAGAGAATCCTCCTTCTACACCTTTCTTTCAAAACTGATATAAAATCAGGCTGCTGGGATATGTGAGTTAGCTAATCCTTTAAACATGGCAACAAAAGAAAAGAAAACAAAACTGCAGACCAATCTTGTGTCTGGAATCGGTGTTTGCCAATTAGCAAACACTGCTAATTGTCAAATTAATTTTGGAGACTGACTAACATTTTAAAAGATGCTGGTAGCAGACTTGAGGGGGTCACAATGCATGGTTTGCAGTAAGGGCTGTAACTAACCTTTTCTTTAATGAAACTGAGCTGAAGAGAAAAATCCAAGCCTGCTGTTTTTATGAGGGGTGAACATTGTTCCCTATAACCCATTTCAGTTCTGTGAAATGCATGTCATCGTACACAAATTGAGTGTCCCTTATCTGCTTTATTTTGGTTTGGGGATGTTTTCATATTCTGGAATGTGTAAGCATATGCCTCATGCACATAGTCTGAATGTAATTTTACAAAATATTTTCAATGATTTTGTGCAAGAAACAGTTGGCGTACACTGAACCCTTAAGGGTCAGATGCAGAATTTCCCACTTGTGGTGTCATGTAGCTTCTCAAAAAAGTTTCAGATTTTGGAGCATTTTATTTTTGTTTTTAAATTTTTATTCATTTATTTTTTATTGTTGTGCTGGGTGGAAGTACATTGTGGCATTTTCAAAAGTTCTTACAATATATTAAAGCATTTTAGATTTGGATTTTCAGATAGGGGATGCTCAAACTGCATTGTCATAACATGAAGTATATATTTTATACTTTTGCCTGCAATGTTGGGGTTCATAGTGGATTCACAAGTTTTCTTTTAAATGGCATAAAAAGCTTTCCTGCTGAGAGGTGCCAACATTTGCAAACAGCCTGATGCCAGACCAGGGTGGCACCTTCAGGTGCCTGTGTCTCATTACTGCCCTTCTTACCTGACCCCTGGCCCCAACCACAGGGGGCTATGTGCCAGCATAGAACAGGCAGGCACTTCGGTGACCATGACCTCAGGCCCTCTGGTCTGAGCATTAGTTGAACTTCAATGGTCACATCAGTGTCGGCAAGTGTTTATGCCTTGGGTCTTCATTCCACTACCTGGGCAGTGCTTTGTAAGCCCCTTTGCCCTGCCAACTCTCCACAGGAGCATCAGAGACCATCACTGACTCTTATTCACAGTCAAGATCAAGATCAAGCCAAGATCAAGTCACACCCTCCAGAGAGTCAGGATGGGCAGCTTCACTTCCTAACTGACCCCCCTACACACACTTCTCAGACTGTCAACCTGGTACCTTTAAGACCTGGCTTTGCTCTCTGGAAACCGAGGATAGACAGACAATGTCCACTGCAGCACCTTCTGCCTAGGACCTTCTCTCTAAATAACTGAAATCAGGCTCGTGTTCCTTTGAACCTAACATGGCCAGAGAGAGTACAGGAATCAGGAAGTGAACAGCAAAAGTCAAGCAGAAGCAATGTGGCCAACCCAGGACAGGAAGCTCTGAGAATTCAGTGTGGATGATGAGTGCAGCCTTGGATCCCATGGTTCAGCGAAGCTAAGACTGTATGGTGGTGCACACCTGTAATCCTAGCACTCAGGAGCCCAAGGCAGGAGGATCATGAGTTTGAGGTGAGCCTGAGCTTCACAGGGGACCCTGTCTCAAAATCCAAGAGGGTGGAGGGTACGAGTATATTCTAAGCAACCTGTCTTCGCTAATTGTGGTTTGGATGTGTCCTGTCCCCTAAGGGTTCATTTGTTGTTTCCCAGTGTAGTGATATAAGAGGTGATGGCACCTTTAAGAGGTGGGGCCTAGTAGGAGGTTGTTAGGTTTTGCTGGGATGCTGCCCTTGGAAGAGATTAAGGTAGTTCTCATGGTACCCTGCTTGGTTCTCGAAAGTTGTTATAAAAGAATAAGCTTGGGCCCTCCCAGTTGCAGCAGCATCCTTGCTTGTACCATTAATGCCATCCACCACGACATGAAGAAACCAGGGGTCTCGCATCAGAATTGGCGCCATGCTACTGGACTTTCAGCCTCCGAAACAGTGAACTAAATAAACTTCTTTTCTTTGTAATGTAACCAGCTTTAAGAATTTCATTATAGTAATGGAAAATGGACTAATACACTAATTCAAGCATATGAGCTGGGAATATTTTAGGGCAAATCATGTCAGCAATTACAACTGCTTCTAAAAAGATCTCTGATTTTCTACTGCATGAGATATGGAACACGGATTCACTGCTTGTGCAATTAAGATGTACTTGTTTCTCATAAGGAAGTCTGTGCTCCTACCTGTGATTCGGTTTTCGATCTCCCCCTGCATCTGGAGAGAATCCACGTAAATGGTCCGGTTCCCTATGAAGCGTGCACAGGCGATGCCCCGGTAAGGCTGGCAGAATCCATCCTCCTGATAGTCATCCCTGGTGAACACACAAGCTCCATAAGAGCACTGGCAAGTGCCAAATAGTGACTTTTTTTAATGCAGCATTTTACAACCCAGCAATTTTGTCATTTGGTGTTTATCTCAAATTAGTTGAAACCTTAAGTTCACATAAAAACCTGCGCACGGATGTGTATCGCAGCTTTCTTCTTAACTGCCATATTTTAGATGCAATTAAAATGCACTCCAGTAGATAAACAGATAAATTCAGACAACGGAAACTTATTCAGCGCAAAGGAGAAATGAGCGCTGAAAAAGCTACATTCCGTACAACTCCAACTCTACAGTCTCTGGAAAAGGCAAAACTTCAGGACAGTAAAAAGATTAAGGCTTGCCAGTAGTTGAAAGAGGGAGGCTGACTATGAGGAGCACAGAGAACTGTGAAGGCAAGGAAAATGACTATGAATGGTCCTACAGAGGCTGGAACTTCAGCCAAAGCCCACAGAAAGTCAAACACAAGCACATAGCACAAACCCTAATTCAGACTACTAGTTCAGTTCATGACACTGTCAATACTGTAATATAATTAGGAGAGACCACGAAGAGGGTGAGAAGAGTATATGGGCGGGAACCCTGTAACTTTCTGTCCAGTTTTTCTATAAACCTAAAACATCTTGAAAAATACCACCTGTTACCAAAAACAAAACAAAATCTGGCATCTTTAAAGGGGCACGGAACACAGGGAGGATGCCTTACGGGTGAAGGTACGTGTACAAGGTGGCATGTACACTGTACACGGACAGGCAGGTCCATGAAGGTAATGAAAATGTATCAATTTATAAAGGGTGTGTGTGAGAAGCCTACAATAAATATTCTACTTGATGGTGAAACATTTTTCCCCTAAAAATGGAAGAAGACAAAGATATCTGCTTTTACTACTTCTACCCAATGTTTCTTTTCTTTCTTGGCTTTTTTTTTTTTGCAGGACTAGGGCTTGAACTCAGGGCCTACACCTTGAGTTACTCCACCAGCCCTGTTTTGAGATTTTTTTTTTTTTTTTTTTGAGAGAGGGTCTTATGAACTATCTTCCTGGGCTGGCTTTGAACCATGATCCTACTGATCTCTGCCTCTTGAGTAGCTAGGATTACAAGGTGAGCCACAGGTGCCCAGCTATATGTTTTGTTTTGTTTTTGGCGGCACTGGGGTTTGAACTCAGGGCCTCATACTTGCTAGGCAGGTGTTCTACCACTTGAGCCACTCAGCCAGTCCTGTCCATTATTTCTTAGGAGGTACTAACCCTTACAATAAGGAAAAGCAGAGGCGGAAGGAAGGGAAGGAGGAAGGGAGAGAGGGAGGGAGGGAAGGAGAGAGGAAGGAAGAAAGGAAGGAAGGAAGGAGGAAAAGAAGGAAGGAGGAAAGGAGGAAGGAAGGAAGGAAGGTTGATTCCTCTTGGAGTAATTTTTAATCACTGGCTTGTCAGCTGGCGGTAGCTGTTTTTTACAATGTTATTTTCTTATAATTAGGGTAAAGTTCAATTCCCCCAGAAACAGCAATAGAAGAAGCTGGCAGTAAAAGTCAGTTAAGTTCCTTTTAGACCCATGCTCTATGGAGATGGGGAGGTAAGTCGGCCTTGAAAATGGACATTTCAGCACTGGGAGCATGTAATGGATAATGACTGAAGTCTTGAAACTGCTTGATGCTTGTTGAGTCAGAAAATAAGGGGGCCCGAGATGTGGCCCCAAGGAAGGTGATTTCTCAGAGGCCAAGAATTAGTAAAATTTAAAAATTTCAAAAGAACAACACTCTTCTTTGAAGCAGCACAGTGTACATGCACAATCTTGAGGGCCATAAGTTTGGTCCAGGACAACAGATGGAAGATGGGGGCTCACCCCTACTCTGCTATACTGCCCCCCAGTCCAGCAGTATGTGTCTATGGGCCTATAGCAGGCTCATACATGATGGAAGTTTTAACCAAACGAGCAGGCAAAAAACATGGCCCAGATAGGAAATGTTAGCCGTCCAGCCCAGCACTAATCCCTGGGAATTGCCTGAGTAAGTTGTCATAAGCCTGGTCTTTGAGCCTACATCAGTGCAGAAGCCATCCTTTCTTAAAGCCTTTGTTCTTCATACACACCCTGCTCACTGCCAACTGAACACAGATGAAGGAAAAGCAATGTTTTGATAGAAGTAAATCCCTTAACCTCCCAGGACACCCACCCACTTTCCCCAACACACACAGCTGAAGTCGGATGTGCTGCCAGCACCCACATGCGTGGACCCGTGAGGGCAGCAGGCAGGAGAGAGTATGCACCAGCCCTTCACATTCCTGTGGGAGAACTCTCAGCAGCACATCTCACCCTGTCACGCTGTGCAGAGACAAACCCAGGCTCCACTATGAGTCACTGTCTCAACTCTCCATTTCCACACACAAGCCACGCTGCCTGACCAAGGAGGAAAGAATGGCAACTATCACACATTTGCTAAGGAACTGGCCAGAGACACTGAATGGGTCAACCTAGTCATTTCAGAGAACTTGTGGATCATTAAAGTATTAGGCTCACTGTTTTCCCTCTTTCTGTCTTCATTTTGGTTAACTTCCAGAGTTATGATAATAACATCATCGTGGAAGAGGTGGCACTCTACTGAAACACAATCATCATCAACAGGAAAAGGAAAAGCATGGTCACAGAAAGATGACCCCCAATTGACTGGTGCTTCAGACTACAAGATGTATAATCAAAGACTGCTCTCCTGTCATACAGCCATCTGCCAGAACATAGAATGGCCACCAGAGGCTAGGGGGTGGATGGCTTGGGAGGTGGGGACCAAAGGACACAAAATTTCAGTTAGGCAGGAGGAAGGCAGCTATGCTCACTACTGTATCACCGACGCCGCACAGCCAAGAGGAATCAGTTAAAAAGTTCTACTCACAACAAGGTGAATACAATTAATAACAACATATTATATACCTGAGAATTGCTGAGAGTAGAGTTTAAGTGTTCTCACCACAAAAAATGGTTAAGAAATGTGAGGTAATATGCATACTAATTATCTTGACTTACTCAATCCACAGTGTATAAATAAAACATGACATCATGTTGAATAACCACAAATATATAGTATTTTTGGTGCTGGGGATTGACTCAAGGGACTTCACGTGTTACTCAGAAGCTCTACTACTGAGCTACAATTACAGCTAATACATACAATTTTTAATTTGTCAGTTAAAATGTATTAACTACCTTAAAGAAGAGTCACCTGACAGCATAAAGTCAGATCAATCTAGCAGGACATTAAAAGAATAATTCAGCATGACCAGGTAGATTTCAATCTAAAACTGTGAAGTTGGTTAGTAAGATGAATTCTATTATGTATACAATATTAACATGTGAAAAGAGAAAGACACAGTTACATTTACGTCTGAAAAAATGACTACTAAAAATGCAGACTTCTCATCATTAGTGACAACAAACATACAAACTATGAGCAAAAGAACAGAAAAAATTCATGCTTTAACATGGTGCTAGACATCCTAAGCTGTGCAATAAGACAAGAAAAGGAAATAAAAACTAAGACTAAGAAGAAATAATCCATACCATTTATTTTTTTTTAATTAATCCCCCGCCATAGGAAAAAGGTCTAAAAGTGCTGCAAAAATAAGTTCAACAAAGTTGTTGTGGACAAGATCAACATCCAAAATGCAAAGCCTTTCTCAACTACCTTCAATGCATGAGTTGAAAATAAAATTTGGGGAGGAAATTATCATTATTATTATCATTAGAAGGATCAATGAACCACCTGGAAGCATCTGTAAGAAAAGGTGTGCCAGATCTTGATGGAGAAAACTATGAAACCTCATTGAAAGTGGTGTAGAAAACTTAAATAAAGAAATATCACGCCAAAACTAAAAATAGCATCGGTTTCCTAATAATCCATAAAGTTCTATGCAACAACAATAAAAATTTAAACACCAAACTCACAAGAAAGAGTGAAAGGCAAGTTAACAGTCAAGGTAATTTAGAAAAAATGGGAAAGTAATTAGGTAGGGCTATTAGTCAGTTTGGGTTGCTATCACAAATACCACAGGCTGGCGTTTGTCCAGAAATTAGTTTTCTCACACTTCCGGATGCTGAAAGTTCAAGATCAAGGGGTCAACCAATTTTGTTCCTAATGGGGGCTTTCTTCCTGCCTTACCAATGGCCACCTACTCACTGACAGAGGGGGAGGGAGAGAAAGGGAGAGAGAGAGACAGAGACAGAGAGAGATCTTGGATGTCTCTTTCTCTTTTATTAGGACACAGTTCTATCAGATCAGGGATCCAACCCTTATGATCTCACTTAACCATAATGACCTTCTTAAAGGCCCCACCTCTGACTCAGCCACACTGGTTAGAGCTTCGACATATGAATTGGGGGTGAGGGTGGGGGCATGGACAACAATCTAGCTCATAGCAGGGTGGGATCCCCTAAATAAAATGAGCATGCATTACCTGGATTTTTAGGGTAGAAAACATTTTGAAACATCCTCTAAAAACATCTGGTTATGTGCTACTTCCAGAATACAGAAAAGTTTAAAAAAAAAAAAAAAGTAGGGCAAGATAGTAAAAGAAAGCAAGTGTAGCTATTTAGTTGAGACTGAATTCAAGGCAAAATGTGCTCAGGCTGAAGGCGTGGCTCAAGTGGTAGAACGCCTCTGCCTAGCAAACCCAAGACCATGAATTCAAACCACATTACTGTCAGGGAAAAAAAAAAGTATTAAAAGGAACTCTGAACAAACAAAACACACAATAAAAAAGATACACAGCATTTAACCCAGAGGTATTTAAGGACATATGTACAAAATATTAAATAGTAGAAAACAGAAAATGGCAAATGCAAAGTAAGTATGGGTGACTTTCACAAATTTTTAGCTACCTGTGGAGCACACACATAGGTATCTGATCTAACATATGAACTGAGGAATGTGCAGCTACCACCAGAACATACTGATTTTTGTGAAACAATACGAAATATTCACAAAAATTCTATTTAATTGGCCACACTGAAAATCAAGAACTTATCATAAGTAAAATACAAACAGCCCAAGTTCATGATAAATAATGTGACAGAAAAACCAGGAAACAATAAAAAATAGCCAGAATGTGTGGGGGTAGGGGATACAGCCAAAAGACTACATCGTAGACTTGAATACATTTACAGGTTGAGTATGCCTTATCCAACCGGCATGATTTCAGATTTCAGAGATCTTCTGATTCTGCAGTATCTGCAGAGACTCCACAGGCTGAGCATCCCTAATCTAAAACTTAAAAAACAAGACAAAACAAAAAAAATGCTCCAAATTTTGAAAGTTTTTGAGCACCAATTTAAAGCTCAGAAAGTTTTGGATTTTACACATTTCAAATTTTGCAGTTTTGGACTAGGGATGCTCAACCTGTATTTAAAAATTTTAAGTGACAAATAAAAATTACTTTTCAAGATGCTAGAATGATATAAAAGACCACATAAGCCACTATACATGCATCAGAATAACTAAAAAATGACTGACCACTTCAAATGTCAGCAAACATGTGGGGTGACCAGCGTACTCCGATGCTGCTAGTGGGAGTACAGAGTGGTCCAAGGGCTTTAGGAAAAGGTCTAGAAATTTATTAAAAAATGATGCACATAACCCAGCAATCCACTCATAGGTAACACTCACAGAAATGAAAATACATGTCACAAAAAAACTTCAATGAGAATATCCATAGCGGCTGTATTCATAGTGAAGGCGTAGGTATCCATGAAGAGGCTGAACAGACCCAGTGGTAGGTTCAAAGGATGGAATACTACCCAGAATCTCAAAAGTGAAGGAAGACAAGCTTATGTGGCTACATGCTGTTGGATTCATATCTGTGAAGTTCCAGAAGAGGTAAAGCTCTCCAAGAGGGAAAAAAAATTGGTTTGGTGGGTGTCTGAGGAGGAGAGGAACTAATTAGGAGGTTGCTTGATACATGCTCTATGTCTGGATAGGGGCTTGGACTGCAGAGGTTTATGTGCTTGTTACACTTATTAATGGTTTGCTCAAGAGCTGCATTTTATTGTAAATTTTAATTTAAAAAGGAAGAAACAGGAATAGTAAGCAGATATTCAACTCTGGTTAATGATATCTATGCTGAAGTATTTCAGGATAAGTGCAAAAGTATCTGCAACACGCTGTGAAATGAATGTGAAGTAAGATGTATTGGTGGATGGAAGGAGGTGGGTGGGAAAACAAGCCAGCAGAGTGTAATGTGTTAGGCGGTGGCTGATAGATATACAGATGCTCACTACCAAATTCCTTCCATGTTTCGTATGTTTGAGATATTTCATAATAAAATGTTAGGAAAAAAAGGACTACCTTAAGACAGAAAGTAGTTCTTTTCAAAATTGGCATGCTATGGTTTTATTTTATTTACCTTTAGACTCAATTCTTACCGATTTATCTATAAATTTATAGAATACTCAGAATACTTTGAGGAAATTAGAATATTCTGTACAAGACACAACATGAAAACCCTAAGAATTCTTTATAAGCATGAGGAACTTTAATTTCTACATGACCAAGAAACAATATAAACAATTATTAAAAACATAAAGAAACAATGTTAAGTGAAAATGGGCAAAGAATACAGAGAGGCAAGAGCAGACATCTGTGCCTGAAAGATGATCCACTTTCTCAGCCTCACAGTAACAGGCAACAGGGAACAAAGCAGGGAAGTGCTGACAGTGTATCCTTCAGAGAGGCAAAAACTAACAAGATCGTGGACATGATCTTATGAAAGGAAAGTAAGGAGAACTGTTTGCTTACACATGTAACTGGCCTCTTGGCAGCACTGATTACAACAAACACCCTTATTCATGGGCACTATGTTCCAAGACCCTCAGTGGGTACATGAAACTGTACCAAACACTATATACACAGTTCTTTCCTTTACATTCATACCTGTGATAAAGTTTAGTTTATACATTCCACACAGTAGGAGATGAGCAACAATAATGAATAATAAAATAATTATAACTACAATACTACAATAAAGGTTAAGTGAATATGGTCTCTGTATGTCTCAAAGTAATGTTCTTGAACTTTTTCACTTAAAAGAAATACTTTGCAGCTTCTCTTTGGCATATCCTAATTGCTGGTAACTCTATTCTGGTGCTTTGGGGCCATTATTAAGCAAAATAAGTGTTACTTGAATACAAACACTCTGTACCATGACAATAAATTTGGTAAGAAAGACAGATGCTATGTGACTAACAGGTAGATAGTCTACACAGCACAGATATGTTGGACAGAACTATGATCTGCACCCCAGGCGGAAACAAGACAGTGTCAGATTTCATGACACTACTCATACTGGTGAACAATTTAAAGCTTACAAACATGTTTTCTGGAATTTTCCATCTCATACTTTCAGGTTATAGTTGACCAAGGGTAAGTAAAACCTTGCACATTGAAGCTGGGGATAAGGAGACACGACTGCAAAAAAGTCAACCATGTGCCTTAGCTCGTCCTCAAGAATTAGGGACATAGTAGGGAAGCACTGCATACTGTGGGTGGGCATGATGGAAATTCCCATTACTGTAGGAACAGTTACATGCTCTGTGCATGAGGGAAAGACAGGGAAAAGGAATACCAGGAAAACCAAATACACTGAAATAGAAGGTGTCTAAGAATACCGCTAACTAAACATGTCAAATACTATTGATGTAATAAAGTAAAAAGAAGTGACAAGATGTATTTCTTCAGTACATTTACATACTGAATGATTAAAAAAAGCAAACAATCCCTGGTCTGATCTACCTTATGACAAAGGGAGCAAAGGCTGGGCCAAGGCCCAGAAGGACAGGGAGGGAACCTTCACCACTACAACTGCCCAATCCATACTTAAAAGTGGGAAGGAAATCAACATATATGATTTTCATAAGTGTTTAATTATAATTACATAAATGTATAATTATATGTGAAAATGTCTATATATGGAATTAGTTTTATAATTCTATGAGTGATATATTCATACATTTTATATTATATACTTAATATTTGTATAAATTTTAATATTTATATAATTATATATAAATAAGTTTAAAAGTACATACTTATAATAGTATGTATATATTTTTGCATGTCCTGAGGAAGAAACCTAGGGCCTCATGCACGCTAGGCAAGCACTTTACCACTGAGTCACACTCATAGATCCTAGTGTGTATTTATAATATAATAGTACTACATTATAATAGCATGTTTAACGTGAAACATGTAAGTGCAGAATATGAAATGAGAGAAAACGTAGTAATTTAACCTTTGAAATGGCTTATACCTTTTCCAAATCCCCATCAATATGCCCTGGAGGCAGTTTCTTTTGTCTTAATCATCCTACATATGAATGACAGTAAAGGAGTTGCTCTGGCTGTGCTGGGAAATAAGAGGCCCATGTTCAAAGCCAGATCCATCAGCGGCTTGCTAAGGATCTGAGAGCCTGGCTGTGTGCCTCATTCTCCTAAACTATAAGGTGGGTTTGATGCCCTAGCTGCAGAGGGTGCCCTGAGGGGCTCAGTGGACACGCATTTATAAACCACAGATGAGGGGGCTGGAGAAGTGGTTTAGTGGTAAAGAACTTGCCTAGCATGTGCAAGGGCCAGGACTCAATTCCCAGCTCCTTTGAAATAAATAAAGAAAGAAAAGAAAAGAAAAATTACAAACTGCAGATAGATGGTGCTGGGTTTTCAGAGTAAGCACTATCTCCTTGTTTGCAAACACCTTGTGAACCAAGATCCCCTGGAGGCCCTGGCAATCTGGAGTATATGTTTATACTCCATTCAGTTTCCCTGTAAGGTCATAATTGCCGAAAGCAATTAACGATTTTTTTGTTTTTATGACATTTCTCCTTTACACTAAACATGGAAAATGTGAAAGTTCCCCAACCCCAAACAATCACATTGTGGTTCTTGTATGAAGCTCAGCCAACTTCTAGCAAATTCAGCAAAGACAAGTTTGCAGGATTTAAAGCCTGGAGTCTTACACAATAGAAACTCTTTGAGCATGGGAAAAATGGCTTGAGGAAAACAGATACTTACTGGAAGTTATGATTTGGGCTGTGTGTTGGACCTAAAAAGATGAAATACAAAGACAAATTATTACTACTCAGATCTGGAACACACCTATTTTCAAATCAGGCTGATGGTAAACATGGGAGAGCCCAGTAGGCTCATCTGTTGCTGGTTGTCCTTTGCTCCTGCTCAATAGGACAAGCCAGTGACGTCAGAACCACAAAAAAAAAAAAAAATGTTTTTGCTGTCCCTTCTCTCTCCTCATATAAACTTTATACACAAAATCTGTTTTACCTTGGAACTGGCATGGTGTGGACTTGAGTGGTGGGCATGGGGTATTTATTGCCCGGGACCTTCTTACAACTGGGACATTCTGTGATTTAATTCCTTCACTATGTGTGACAAGCACAAAAGTTCAGAACCGGGACTATGCTCTGTCTTTCTAGTCAGTTAGACCAGGTTTTCCTGGGTGGACAGGTGGCTTTACAGAGCCACAGCAGAGGATCAGAGATTCCACCTGGCCAGTGCATGGGAACCCACAAGACAGTGGTAGGCTTGGCACCTAGAGATCTGCAGAGTGGCCAGTCTCCCCACAAATGTGAGCTTGGAGTAGTGGCCTTTCTGCCAAACATCCCAGCTTACCTGTATATCTGGGTTTATTTTTTGCATTCTAGGTTTATGGATCACTCCATCTGTGTATTTGCCTTTATTACTAGTAAATGGGGAATAGGTCTCATGCACAATGGGAAAGGCCTTGGGGAATGGTTTTATTGACTTCCTCTCATGTTGACTGAGTGTTCAGTTTCAGGCGAAACTGATCTTTCATTCAGTGCCTGTGAACATTCCTACATTTACCAGCATGTCTTTGCTGTCCCCACTCACCAAGCCGCACATACAGGACTCCAGTGGCAGTGATGGTCTTCACCCCATTGGTGGCTACACACTGGTAGTAGCCAGTGTCTGTCGTATCCAGGTCTTGTATTCTCAGTCGAGAGCCATATTCTGTTTTCCGGATGATGATCCGCCTGGGCTCCTGCACTACTGGGGCATCATTCTTCAGCCACCGCACACTGGGGGGTGGGTTTCCTGCCACCTTGCAGTGCAGAATTGCTGTCTGGCCCTGGACAATGGTGATATTGTTTACTGGCTCCAAAAAATTCAGAAAGTAACCTGCCAAGGAGAGGGGTCATGAAAGAGTAAACATCAGTGAAGGCTGGAAGGAAGGCCCCTATGGGCCCCTGCATGAACTACTGTGGGGGAAGGTGTCCATTTCACTCACATACACTGGCAATTCCAATTGCTGGCAATAAGTGTGTCATATTCTAGAATGCTGCAGTGAACACTGAGTTAGTGAGCATGAGCCACTGCTCCTGGGAGGAATACAGAGTCAGGTTCTAGAGAGCTTCTGGTCACAACATAACTGCTTATGTTAAAAACACCTTATTGCTGATCCAATCACATTGAACTTTGGGCCCACAGCCTTGGAACTCGTGCCTGTGCAAAGCTTCTCTAATACCCATTTTCTCTGGAAGGCACATCTCATGCTCAGCCTTTTTGCAAGTATGCACACAGGACAGTCTTCAGCACAATGCCCAGGACCTTTCTAAGAACCAAATGCACCAACAAAAAGCATACAACTGCAGAAATCCTGACACTAAATAGGCTGACAAAAAGACTTGTATGAGAGCTGAAATTGGGAAGAAGAGTGTTGCCTTGTTCAACCTTAGCTGGGAATGTGTACACTGGGTGTCTCTGCGAAAGACAGCGAAGAGGATAAATATTGATCTGGGGACTAAATCATTTTTACTATTACATGAACTTGCAAATACTCTATTTGCAAATAATGGGGCTCCACTGTACTTCTCTTTCCAAATACTCAATCTAATCCAGACTGGCCAATATGATGTCAATAAGTAAATTGTGCATTATAAAATGTGGGGTATAAAAGACACCCCAAACAAGGTCATCACTGTTCTGTAAACAGAACAGAAAGGAAGATGCAGAGGGGGATAGTGGCTGTGTACCAGTGCATTCAGGTCAGGGGCAGTGCAGGGCTCACTCACTCAAGGGAAGACAAGGCCGTAAAGTTCTTTTAACGTTCCCATGAAGGGGCTGGAAATGTTTCCCCAGTAAAACCAGGGCAAGAGCTCTGGGCTAGCAACTCAAGGCCAGAGGGAATAAGAGAAAGTAAAAGGGGCAGAGGAGGGATATGTGCATGTATGGGCATGCATGTGCCTGTGCACATGTATGTGTAAGCATGTGTTTGTGCATGCATGTAAACCTGTATAGTGTGTCAGGCCTGATGGGATACTTACTCTGTCTGAAGATAAACATGCAAACTAAAATTCTATAATGTGTAAGGAAAACTAATGTTAGACAAATGATCATGAGGAGATAGCTTACATCAGGCAAAACTAATGTAATAGAGCCATCTGAAAATGACTTAAAAGTAAATACAATTACCTCTTGGTATTAGTGGAGGATAGGTTTCAGGCACCCCCTCAGACACTAAAATCCACAGACAATCAACTTTTTTACATAAAACAACGTATGTTTACATCTAAACTATGCACACCCTTCTGTATACTTTAAAGCATCTCTAGATTTTTTTTTTTTTGAAACTGGGTTTTGAATTCAGGGCTTCACATTTGCAAAGCAGTTGCTCTACCACTTGAGCCACACCTCCAGTCCATTTTTTTCTCATTATTTTGGAGAGGTGATCTTGTAAACTATTTGCTCAGGCTGGCCTTGAATCACAAATCTGTTCTCAGCCAAGTAGCTAGGATTATAGGCATGAGCTACTGGCACCCAGCTATAGATTACTTTTAATATTCTGTATCACTAGGAAATAATGACAAGAAGGAAAGGACTACATATACTCAGTACAGAAGCAATTTTTTCCTGAATATTTTCGATTGTCCATTGGAAGAACTGCAGAAGGGGAACCCATGGAAATAGAATTTTCTTTTGATTTTCCAGTTGATCCCAATCCTTTCTTTTTAAATGAAGCTGAAGTATGGAATTTATCTGTTGTTACTGATTTAATTGGGAGACTACAGGATTTCTAGTGGATCCTATGTGTGAGAGCACCGTAGGATGGCTGCTGCCCCCAGATGTTGGGTAGACGGAGGTAGCTGAGGAGGGAGTCCAGCTGTGGATTTCAAGATAAAGGGATGATTTTTAGCCACAGGACAGTGCCATCTGCCTAATTAGCATAGATTATAATAATTTTAATATCTTTAGATTCACCTTGACTCTCTCCTAGCCAACCCTTTCTTCATGCACTGGATTACACTGTAGACAGCAACTCATATGGATGACACAGAGCTGAAGGGTAACTGAAATGCTGACATTTTGGGGATGAACTGAAATGTTCAGGCCAGAAAGGGTGGACTTAACATATAGATGTTAGCAGTTTATTAATTCAATCACACAGCATATGAGCCCTGCACTCCCAAAGCTCTAGTGTATGGACCTCCATCTTTATGCACACACACACACACACACACACACACACACACACACTCAACAACATCTCATCTAGTTTGACCATGTCATAAAATCTGGGCTGCCCATCCCAACACATCATTTCTGAACTTGGCCAGACCAGGTTCAGACTAGGAATGAGAAGAGCATTCTAAATGGTCAGCAGTTATACCTGAGGACACACCAATGCAATGCATATAAACAATCTGTTCAGAAGGGAACAGACTGGGATGGAATCTCTATGGATGGCACCCAAGTCCCAACATAAGCCTGAAATCAGCCGCCTTCAAACTCCACTAGAAGTTCAGTAGGACAAAAATCATTTGTTGATAATTAGCAACATGATAAAATGTACAACCGTCTCCCTAGATGAATAAAATTAAGCACCCAAGAATAAAGTAGGAAGATCAATTATGGAAAACAGTTAATTTATATCCATGGTATCAGTGATTTTTCCATTCTGAAGGGACAGCTTCTTGTTCCATCTAAGATGTACTGAGCTGATTCCTGGATTCTCAGGTGGCCAGGGGCACCAATCTTTCCTCAGTGATCCTTTCCATATCTCAAGAGGCAAGTCTCGCCTACAAAGTCACTCCACAGAGTGGAGATGGCTGCCCCATCCAAAACAAGCTCTATTCATTTCCTTCTACCAACCTATTGGCCTGTGACCACTTCAGCATCACATTTGTTAAATCACGATGAACAAGAGTACATTTTGACACCAAGAAGAACAACTCTTACTTTGCAGGGGAGGGGGTGATTTTCTCAATTCTGTAGTTATACTTTCTCTTCTAGATGTAATTTAGAATCATCTCAATAAGTTCCATTTTTTAAAAAAAAAGGGCTTCAAAAATGATAAAATAAAATTAAAAAAATATATACAGAGCTTCAATGGAGAAAGATCTGCATGTGTATAAAGTGATACTCCAGACAACATTTCAAAAGCATGGTTCAGGACTCAATGTGTGGTTCAAGCAGTAAAATGCCTGCTTTGCAAGTTCAAAGCCCTGAGTTCAAACCAGTCTCACCAAAAAATAAAAAAAGCACAGGCCAGGTTTCTACTTCTGACCTTTCCTATTCATAGATCTTCACATTTGTCTTTGGGCAGATTTCTAGTAATTCTATAATTCTGTTATCACTGTGAATCAGTTTTATTTCTGTTGTTTTGTTTAATTGGTTTAAGGCTTATGAGAAAGTGATAAGATAGCAATCTTATATTGTATCCGTATTTTGTGCTGATTTTCTATGGGTGCTTATATAACAAATGACCACAAACTTCACGGTATAAAACAACACAATTTGCTATCTTATGCTCAGGGAGGACAGAAACCCTAAAATCAAGGTGTTGGCTGGGTTGGTTCCTTCTGGAGGCTCTGGGTGAGGATTTGCTTTTTTGCCTTTTCCACATGGCAAAGGCTGCCCTTATTCCTTGGCTCAAGGCCTCTCCCTTGCTTATTTGTTTCTACCATCACATCTCCTACCAGACTCTGGTCCTCCTTCCTTCCTTTTATGAGGGCTTCTGGGTTAACTTGGGCTCACTGCACAATCTAAGGTAATTGCCCCAGTCATGACCCATAACCACACTTCATGCTTTAATGCAGTGCTTACATTATGATGGGTCTTTGATACTACCAAGATCCACTCCATAACCCAACCCAGTCAGTTCCCGGAGAGAGTCCACATTTGCTAGGTAAGAATGTGTGTTCCTTGCAAGGTTTATATATGCCCATTAGATCAAGCTTGTCCATTTTGTTGTTGCAAATTTTAGTACATCAGAAAATAAGTATATTTTAGTATGCTTATCAGTTTCAATGAGGTAATGTGTTCACTGATTCTACATTTGCCAAGTAACTGTTAAGTGAGATCTGTTGAGTTTATATAATGTAAACTACTTGGTTGCATCCAACTGCAGGTTTATCCTATAACTTGGTCCTCCGATTGTTCTACAATGCCCTGTCTAAAACACTGTTTGTCTGATTTTATTATGGGCACCTCAGGGTGCTTTTGGTTAACATAACTCTACTTTTACCTATTCTTTTTTTTTTTTACCAATTTTTATGATTCTATACTAGATATGAATCTTCTAAATGTCATGTAATTTTATACATTAGTTTAAGAGTCTATGTGTTATTAACCTATTTTTTTTTTTTTTGGTGGTGGTACTGGGGATTGAACTTAGGGCCTCATACTTGTTAAAACTAAGCACTCTACTACTTGAGCCATGCTCCACTTTTTAGTTTTAGTTTTTCAAATAGGGTTTCACACTTTTGTGTGGGTCACCACAGATTCTTCTATCTCCACCTCCCAAGTAAATGGGACCACAGGCATGTACCACCATGCCTGGCCTAATCTATGATTTTTTTGATTGTTTAGTCTTATTTTTAATGTTTTCATTTTACATCTTTCTACTTCCTATTTTTTTGATTCTCCATTTCTCCTCTTTACAGGTTTGACAGTTATACTTCAGTAATTAGCTTCTCCCAAAGAGAAGAATCTTTAAATATTGTGAGCTACAAGCTCCTCTCTCTCTCTCTCTCTCTCTCTCTCTAACACACACACACACACACAAACACACACACGCTGTTTTTAAAATTTCTTTTATTCATACGTGCATACAATGTTTGGGTCATTTCTCCCCCCTTCCTCCCACCCCCTCCCTTTCCCCCTTCCCCTCCCTCTCCCCC